CATGAGTCGTAGCCTATTTATATCATTTAATTTACGATTCCGATAGCAATAATGGCAATAGATGCATCAGAATGATCAAACATATCCATGTAAGTCGCGATCCCCACAACACTTCTCTACAATATACTCGAATGGTGCACATTTCTCCAAGAAAGAGTGCTAAGAAATTCTATGCGTTGATAGATCATGTCGACTAGAACAAATGTCGAGGGTTGAGATTAATTGTGTACCTTAAAGTCGAGAATACCGCTGAGAATTATCCAACCTTACCAAAAGAAACTTGATTTCTGTCTCCAAGATTGCCATCGGTGATTGGCATCATCAAAACTCAACCTTCATTGTCATCTCACATTGATAGATTCGTGCTTGCTCGTTTTGGGTTCCTCGTCAAGAATTCAAAGAGATGTCGTTATCAACGTTATATTCACGTCATCCATCTTATCATTTTTCACACGAGTAAAATAAGAGATCAAATACGAACATTATCTTCTCAATTCAAGGCGTGTTCTAGTAATGACACGCTCAGAAAATTATGGTCAATTTAATTCAGACAAAATTCCACATGTACTCATGAAAATTCCAATGATAGACTTCGAATATATCAAAATAACCAATCATATATAAATTTAATTCATGTCCTCAAACCCACCGATGCGAGAGTGGTAAACCTACCCAATGCACGTCAAGCACGATCTCAAAATATTCTCAGTTCAAAGTTATGACCCACATATATCCTCAAATAAACAATTTTTTCACGAATGAATCGATCGACTCCACGAATAGATCAAATACTTGTTGGAGTAAATCAGATAATACTTCCACAAATAAATCACATATCGCCTCCACGCATATAGCAAGTGTCTCCATGAATAAGACAATTAATCTCCATGAATAAAGCAAGTGATATTCATGAATAAATCAATATTCTCTAATCTTTCTAATTCAACAATTCTTTGCTCCATGATTTTAATTAATTTCAAACCTCATTTATAAGAATTATATCTCAAATTTACCTTCTCATTCGCTTATAATCGTCTCGAATTAACCTTGGATAGAAAATATGGTTGTTGGACCATTCTGGGCCAGTTTTTACCGCTGCTGGGCCATTGGGGCTCGATCTAAGTACTCCTGGGCGCTAATCAGGCCGAACTGGGGAGCTGACGGGCCGCATTTAGGCGATTGGGCCGTGCACAAGCCAGTTGGGCCACTCGCGGGCTGAGGAATGGGCCGGACGCGTGCTGGATGCTGCAGCAGATGCGGGCTGGGCGCGGGTTGGTAGCGGGCTGGACGCAGGCTTGAGTACGGGCTGGGTGCGGGGCTCTCGCGGGCCAATAACTGGACAAATGCGGGCTTCGCGGGCCGATCCCGGCCCGCGCCTTAACTCCTCTTCTCCTCCTGAACTTCACGCGTTGGGCCAGCGCAAAAATATTGGGCCGGTTCCTCATTGGGCCTTCTACTGGATCGCAGACTGCGGGCCGGTCTGGTCTTCTTGCACGCTGGAGAGCACTGGGCCGACGAGCT